CCTTCCCTGTGCCTCCTAGAGGGCTTGGGAGGTGAGGAGCTGTTCCGGGTAGAACAAGGCTGTGACATTATTTTTCCCAATCAGGACGTGGAGGTTCAGAGCGTGAGAATGACAGATCCAGTTATATAACAATACACGATAAGAGACATTCATCCAAAACCCTTTTGTCCATTTGAGATTAAATTAAAAAAGAGTAGCGATGCCTATCTTTTCACTCAAGAATCTCAGGATATTTCATAAACATGAATTTATTAGTCTACCAACAAAAAGCTTCTCCCCCTTGACGTGGGGAGCTGAGCGGAGAATGGGCGTTCTCACATCAACCCAATAGATGTTTTTTTAAGTTTTATTGTAGTGAAATATACATAACACAAAATTTATCATCTTGTCCATTTTTAAGTGTTCGGTGGCATTAAGGACATTTGCATTGTGCTGCAACCGTCACCACGATCCATCTCAAAACCTTTTCATCTTCCCCAACTGAAACTCTGTGCCCATTAAATGCTGACTCCCTGTTTCTCCTTCCCCCAGTCCCTGGCAAGTACCATCCTACTTTCTGTCTTTATGAATCTGACTGCCTCATGTAAGTGGAATCATACAATATTTATATTTTTGTGACTAGCTTATTTCTTTTAGCATATTGTCCTCAAGGTTCACCCGTGTTGTAGCATGTGTCAGAATGTCCTTCCTTTTTAAGGATGAATAATATGCCATTGTATGGAGAGGTCACATTTTGTTTATCTAGTCATCTGTCGGTGGGCATTTGCGTTGTTTCTACCTTTTGGCTATTGTGAATAATGCTGCTGTGAACATGGGGGTATAAGTATTTGTTCGAGTCCTGCTTCTGATTCTTTAGGGTATGTACCCAGAAGTGGAGTTATTAGATCGTATGGTAATTTCTACGTTTAACTTTTGGGGGAACTGCCATGCTGCTCAATAGGTTTTGGCACAAAGCCGCTAGAACATACCAAAAACTCCATGTGCAGACCCCATCCTAATCCCTCCCCCCAAGGAGACTTTCCCCATCCAACCCCCCACCCCCGGCCCACGGGCACTCTGAGAGGTGACGAGGCTCCTGCCTTAGACACAGTAAAGAAGCTATTGCAGCCACATCAATCAACTCCTCCCCTGGGGTCCAGTGGCCAGGGGACAGACCTCAATCTTGTGTCGTCTCTGGGACCATCCATCACTAAGATAGCTCAGGTCACATGGCCATGTGATTTGTTCCCAAGCAGAAGCACCATGACTCTTTTTTCGCCTCTTCCTTGGTCTACATTCCCTCACTCAGTTAATTAGCATGCCTGGCACTGTAGCTTAAGACTTTAATCAGCGTGGGGTGGTTTTAATTAATCGCGTGTCTCTGCATCTGGAGTGGTTAGTGTTCCAGGGTCAGGAGAGGAACCGGAGATGGGGAATGAGAGAGGCGGCTCTGTCTGGTATACGGTGTGGGTGGAGAATCTAGATATCTGGGGAGAGAGAATCATAATGTCAAGGTGGCTCGGAAACCACCGGCCACCTGTGCAGCTTACTAGCGATGTGTGGAAAGTACCCAGAGCCATTAGGGTATGGAATTGCACCGAGATAAATGGTGAACTAAATCTAGTTTTCAAAAGCGACTTGAAGTGTTGGGAATATTTCTGATGCTTTCCAGAATTACCTATGGGGTGAAGAGTGAACTAATGCAATGACATAGGTTGGGATCAGTCTGGGAGAGCTTGGCCATGCCGGAGAATGTTGCCTGATGGCATGACTTGGCAGCTTCCCCTGGGCCTGGCCTTTTTCAGGAAAGTCCTGGAAAGGTGTGTGTGGGGGTGGAGTGGGGGTGGGGACACTTAGCTCTCAAATGATGATAACCTTTCTCCTTGGTCTGTCACAATACTGTTGCCTCCCTACCCCCAGTTTCAGCGTCCATGCTCTAAAAAGAATAGAGAACCCCTAGATAAAGTTCAGAAGAGTACTTTTAAAAAATGACTGAATATATAGATAGAAAGATCCTAAAAGTAAAAGTTAAAAGAAGCTGGATCTTGTGATAACTGCCCAGGACTCATGTCCCTGTCCCACAGGGATCCACCCAAACCGGAAGCAAAGAAAAATATGTAACTGTTACAATAGCTGGAAAAAGCACTAACTAAGTCCAGGAAGCTGGGGTAATGCCAGGGTTTCATCCCAGAGACTGAGCAACGGACATTTTAGGGGCAGATATCGCAGTTTGAGGAGGAAATGACTCAATCGAGGTACAAAACGAGAAAAGCTCTTTCAGGCGTGTTACGGTTCCGACCGAGTGCAGGAGGCCCAGGGGGGCTGGCAGAGCAGTTTGCTGTGGTGTGGGGGAGAGGGCAAGGGACAGCCCTCATCAATGAAGAAGGGGATATGAGTAAAAGATAATCACTTGTGACACACGCGATCATTTATAAAGCAGTTTCGTACCTTTGGGATCATCCGCGCTTCGGGAAATTCTGTGAAGTAGGAGAGATTTTTATCTCTGCATTTAAAGATGAGAAAAAAATGAGACTCAGAAGCAATAGGATCTTGTTGCCAGTTAAGTGGTGAAGCCAGAATTCGAACCTAGCTCTGCAAGCTCCTATACTCTTTCCAACCAAACAGAAATGACTCTTGTTTAAAATGGAAACGAAGGAGTGTACGATTTGGGGTATCAACAGTATTAAACACCAGTTGCAAGATATTTGCAGAAACCTGAATGCGAAGGCTTTTGAGAATGTCAGATTGGCCAAGCAGCTGGCTCTTCATGTTGCACACCCCGAAACCCCATGGCACATCTATCCAAGACAGATTATAGAACATGTCAGTGGGAGAGGCTGGGGAGGATATTAATTAAGTTCAGACCAAGAAAATGCTTTTGATTGAACAAGCCATGATTTTCTCTTTAAGACCATGCAAAATATGGAGTGCTAGACAAGCAGCTGGAACATATGAAAACATTATTATGTACTTATGTTACCAACCTTCACCATCTATGGCCCCTTTTATTACTTATTTTCCCCCTCTGGGCATCATGTTTTGAAAGGGTTTTGCCTACTAAACAAACTGCATTTATTAAGTAATAATATATTTCCTATTCTTAATACGGGACATGCATCATTGGGCATGAATACAAACAGAAAAGAGCAACAATTCAATTTCCATTCACCTTTTGGAAATATTGAAAATAGCTTGTGGACCTCATTACCACTCATGAATTCCTACGAGTCCAGGTACTTTGAGCTGGGAAACATTATTTATATGCTTGCATGACCAGCATGTCTATGCCCATTTAAGGGGTGGGGAAAGAAATTTAAGGGGGCAACAGGAAGAGGGTAAGTTCCTAGCTGCGTGTAGAGCCAGCAAGGTAATTTGTAAGAAACTGATTGCCAGGATTAATTACGAAAATGGGAAAGTTGCATATAGGCAGAGCCGAGGCATGACTCATGCCGATTACATGAGCGGGAATGAAAAGAAAGATAAAATTCCAAATGTCCAAAAAGACATCTGAGAACGTAGAGAAAGGGCCCCCGAGGCCAAGAGCAAAGCTACAAGAATGAGAACAGGAAGCTGAAAGGTAAATTGGAAGAAGCGAACATGCAGGGTGGTCATTAAGAACGCCGAATCTGTGCTTAAGAAAACAAAAAGGGATATGTAAAGGGAATAAGAAAATGAAGGTAGAAAGGAAAAAGAGATCGTGTGGGGTTTGAAATTAATTATTAAGTAATTCCAAAAGGGAGTTTCGAGATAAACTGAGCAGGCTCCGGTGCAGTTTGCCTGTGCATGAGCTACAAGGAGCCCCTGCCAAATGGTGCATAATTTCGCAGAGGCAGATGCCCTGTGAAGCAGCAGGGAAATTACAGCTTCTGCGTTTGCTCATGAAGCTCAGAGGCTCGGTCGGGTCAGCATGGTTTATACTTCTCAGTGTTTGTTGTCTGACGGTGAGAAATTTAAAAAGATGACCACATGAAATTCTCTTAGTTCAAGCTAAAAGATTAGGTAAGAAATCCTCCATTGAGGTATAAAAAAGTATCCCAAATGGTACAGAATGATTTTTAAAAAAAAATTTTTTTTTTTTTTTTTGTAAAGAAGAAACTGGCAAAATGAAGACTAAAGACCAAGGCTATAGAAAGAAAACTAAAATTCCGTTTGATCCTGTGTATTGTTATTAAAAACCTCCTATGTATCGGGGCCCTGAGAAGTCACGTAAAAAGACATAGGGCAAAGGGACACTGGAGAACAAAGAACTGGAAAAGAGCTTAGGAACGTTCGAAAAATGGAAGCATTTGGGTCAAGCAGAACATTTTGCATTAACAAGAGTCTGGTGAAAGCAAGTTTTGGGGTTGCAGAGAGAATCTCTAATCATGAGAAGAGTGTAGGTAGGACGAGAAATAGCAACAGCTGCTCTTTGAAAGGCCCACAGTGAAAAACGTTCAGAGCCGGTTGGCCAGCAGGATGAGAAAAAGAGAGGGGCAGGTAACAGCCACAAAGCGAGTTTATTACACCTGGTTAAAAGCCACAGAGAAAGAGAAAGTGAAGGTCTTGGCCTTGAGTTAAACACCCTCTGGAACCGCAAAAATTATGAAGGGAGACTGGGAAGACAGCGGGACACTTGATGGCAAAAGAGAAACAAGCGTGGGAAAAGAATAAACTTCTGAGTTTGTAACATGGATAAGAAACAAGTACGTGATGAATGTGGAGATGTTTGAGGTTTCAGTGGTGAGAAAATTCAACTGTAGACTATATAAGTATCTTTTCTAATAATTTAATATGAAGTCTATGAAGTCTATTCCCAGAGGTGTCTAAGAAAATAACAGGTGTCGTCTCCCCTGAGTGCTTACGTGGCCACCTGCTCAAATATGGTCATCAAGGTCCTTTTCGGTTCTGACCCTCTATCCAGGCCCCTTCGTGTTCCTACACTGTTTTGGGTGATATGCCCGAGAGCATGCCATCTCTTTCTAGTGAATTGCTGTGTGTTCTGCAAAATGTTGACCGCTCTCTCCCTTGTTGTCGGGTCCCAGCTCACCAGAGTCCCCGTGGAGTCGTGCGGTCAGTACCGGAGCTGCGGCGAGTGCCTGGGCTCGGGCGATCCCCACTGCGGCTGGTGTGTCCTCCACAACGCGTGAGTACCGCCCGCAGCTCCCTCCCGCCTCCCGCTCCCCCGCCTACCCCCACGGAGCTTTCTTCCTCCTCGTCGTCTCGGTGGCCACTCACCTTCCCTTCGCTCTCTCTTCTCTGCCCGTCTTTTCTTACTCTTCCTTCCTTGTGTTATTTGCAAATTTTATCTCCCTTCTTTTGTTCTGATAGCCCCTTAAATCGCCAAATTCCGTTAAAAACTATAAGAATGGCAGCACGGGAATGATGAAGGGCCAGGGTGTAGAATCGTGCTGGGTGATGACACACTGGGGGGCTCGAGGGGGTTCTGGACATTTATGGCTATGATTTGACTGGAGACTGATTCTAGGAAGGAACAGCAGAAAAAAAGGAATTGGACTTTTTCCCAGGGCTCACACGGGCCGCTCGATCACGTGCGAGATACGTACTGTCTCTGTAGTGATTCAACGTCCACTTAACAGACTCTTCGATGCCGCCCAGAATCTCCTGGTACTTGGGGTGTACACTTCAAGTGTGCAGTGCCTGAGAATTGTCCCTCTGCTGTCATGACACTCATCTGGCTGTTCTCTAAAAGTGGCAAGAAGGTAATGGTATACAGTGGGGACACATAGTAGCCTGGCAAATGAACTGAGTGAGGGATGTAAGGTACAGACAACCAGCCCAGACATGTGGGGAGAGTCGCAGGCCTCCTTTACGGGATCTAAAGACCTTGGCATCGCTGACTAGAGACGCCCACAACCGTTGGGACCCTCTGATGGAATCTGGTCCCAGTCAAGCTGTGGCTGCTGGAATCCCAGGCTGCAAGTCAACACTTGAAACTCGACACTCTGTGAGTTCGACACAAGCATTATAAATTAAGGAGACGGACTTCCGGCTAAGAGGCTGAACTGAATGTGACCAATGACACTTAGCAGTCATTTTGAACTGTAGGAAGGTAGGGGCAGGAGCTTGCCCCACCCCCACCCAAGATTGCCTCCGAAAGTTAGAAACACCCTCTCAGATTCTCATATGTTCTCTCCAAGGGCACAGGAACCCTCCCACTTCCGGCTGACAGTCTTAGGCGTGATGAGTCCTTGAGTTCTTTGAGGGAAAGTCTGAGATCCCTCAGGTGTGCTATGGTGGGAAACGGACGAGACGGACTGATGAGCTCTGAAATGCATGGAGCTCAGAGATGATCGGAGACTGGGCGCAGGAGTGCACACGATGCCATGTATGGTGACGGCAAAGTGGAGCCTAAGAGTGGCCGGCGTAACGGATGGAAGACGCTGCACTCAGAATGCAGATCGGCTCTGATCCATCCGAGAGAGCCGCCTAGATGGTACTTCGCGAGGCAGAATGGAAGTTGCTTTCTTTGTCCCACACAGTGAGGCGTCTCAGAAAGGGACTGTGCTGTGTCACATGGCTTCCTTGGGGGCCTTAGGCCAGCTGACTTTCTGCTTGGCTGAGGATGGCTCCGCTGCTCCTGGCGAGGGCTCTTATACCTGGCATCGTTCAGGGGCAGTTAGAAAAGCTGGCCCTTCTCTGACACTCTATGCCTGTGGGCCCCAAAAGCAGGTCTCCGTGTCAGCTTTGATCCTGCTTTGATCCACTGGTGGTGCTGGCCAGCCCCACATAGAGCTGAACCCCTGTGAGAAGGCAGCAGAGGTGCTGCCCACCTGCCAGCCTCCCCTCTCCAAAGCTGAATTTAAACAGGAATGAGAGGAGGAGGTACCAGGAACTACTTCCTGCATGACCTCAGTTTCCCCTTTAGTAACATAATACCTGCCTCCTGTCAAGGGGCAGGAAACAGAGACGTACTGCAGCCAGGGTGAAGTCCGGACAGTTCACGAAGGAGGCCGTCGGCCAGCATCTCTACCATCAGCGTGGCCTTGAGAAAACAGCCACTGGCACGAACCTGAGGCATCTGCCACCAAGTCCAAAGTCCACACTCCCCCCAGCTGTGCAGCAACCTGGGATAGCAACCCAGCTCCTCATCTGGGAATCGGAGATGGCAATGCCCGACCCGCCCACTTCGCTGAGTGTTTGGAGAATCAAATGAGATTATGTGGGTGAAAGGGCACTGTGAACTGTGGGGTGTGTGAAATGTAAAGTGGGGGTGGGACAGGACACTGGACATAGTTGGGGAAGGACTGAGAGCTCATGGGGCCCCTGCCTCTTATGACTTTGGTTGACCCCCACTGATTGTCCAGATGGCTCTACGTTAATTGCATTTTTCCCCTCCTCTGAGCAGTGGATGCTCCCGCTGCAATATTTCTCACCTCTGTTAACCTGGCATCATGTCTTTTTCTGAAGCTGGTAAAGCTCATCCCTATGTGTCATGTTGGTACAGCCCTTATTAAGCACAGGCCCTCAGAAAGCAGAGGGACTGAGCAAGTGCTTTCTCTATGCCTGTTACTCAGCACGGAGCTCCTGCTACTGCTCGTAGCCCCTCCCCGACCTTGCCCAACGTGCCACGGTGAGAGCAAGTGTGCAAAAGCCACGAGGGACTTTGGAAGGACAACTGGAACAGAAATCAATAGAATGTAGTCCTCGCTTTTTGCAAACATGCTATGGGCCTGTGGACAAGAATAGTTGATTCTCATTATTCATGGCAGTTCTGTTCTATAAAGTCACGGCAAACACCAAATTAGTGAATACAGAACCATTGCTCCTAGGAAAAATACAGAGCTAGGTTCCTATGAGCCTCTGGTCACAACATTTTTGTCAACCAACCAATCCATAACCATGTTTTATGTGTTTCTGTTTAAAGATACCTTATTTAATATATATTTTTTCACTAACATTGAATTCACAGCCAATGGCACTATAATTTGTGCCTGAAGAAAGCGTATCTAACACATGTATTTTCTCCATAAGACACATCACAGCTTACTGCACAAGGGAACACTGGACAGCACTTCAGCATGATACTGGGGGGCCATTTTAAATAGTGAAATCCCCAAGAAAAAGCACAAAATTGGGAAAAACTTGACACTACATAGACCTCGAAAAGGTCACTTGTCTACGGCTGAAACAACAAGGCAGAGTGGTGTTGCCTTGTTGGACCTCTGCTGGGAACATGTTTATAAATAAACTTTAGCAAGTAGGCAAATTCACAAATACAGAATCCACAAATAATTACGATCGACTGTAACTCTGCGCATCAGAAACTTGGCGTCCTAGTTTACAAAGAAGCCGCAGCCTGTTACCCATTCATGGTGGTGGCGTGAGGGTAAAATTGGGTGATAAAGGATGTCATAAAAGTCCAAGGTGCTTCACCGAGTCAAGGTGTTGTTCTCTGTAGCCTTAAGCCTCCTGGTTGTGTGGCGACCTTGGTGCGAGGGGCTGTGCTGCTCTATCTCGTAAAGCCCAAGTCCTCTGGGAAGATTCAGCTCATCAGCACCCCTGGGCCAAGGCTGCCCACCCACCGTGACACTCAGCAAATCCCCCCTCCCTCCCTCCCAGAGTTAATGACCAAGGACGCCCCTGACCTTCATGGCCAGGTGAAGAAGAAGTAGGTCTCTGGAACTTCTCAGATGCTTGTAATCAGGATATCATGTTTAAATTTACAGAGAGTGAGATGCACAGATCCTAAGTGTACAGTGTGAAAAGTTTTGACAGATGCAAACAGCCAGATAATCCACACCCCAATCAAGACATAATCATTTCCCTCATCTACAACGTTCTCTCATGTTCCTTCCTATTCTTCCCAGTGGGCCTTGCTTCCCTAGTTGCTCAAGTTCAGGTCCAAGCCAGACATTGCCTTTCCTGCTATATCCTCCCTTTTATTTTAAATAGTTGCCAACTGGACATTCATGGCTGGGAGAGATACATGAGGACATGGGCCAAGCAGGAGGGAAGGGAAAAGTCTGAGGCAGGCAGAGTAGGTTCAGAAGGTTAGGGAGGACCAGAGAGAGCCTGCAGACGCTTACTCTGGTGCCTCAGCTTGCTAGGAAGAAAGCATGCCGAAAAGTGTGTGGGTTTCATCACGGCATGGGACAGCTGTGCCCGCACACACAGACTTGTCCGTGGGACTCACATGGGCCCTGTCCCTCTGTGCCAGGCACATTGCTGGGCTTGGGGGACACGAGGGGACTAGGTTAGACTGTCTGTGTCCTGAAGCTTTTTGGGAACTAGGCTTCTGGTCCAGGCAGGGATGGGGAAGGGGGTGCCGTCTCTGCTAGAACGAGCACACATCATGGGTGAGACCCTGTGCTGAGTGCTGCAGGGCCCAGGGAGCATGTCCTTCAGGAAAACCAGGGCCAAGGGCAGCAGGAAGAGGGCTCCTTCGGGCGTCAAGATATGTCTGTTTTATTTGTCACTTCTGCCAACGTTTCCCATCATTGGAGAGAGTATGAGGTTGGGAATCTTGTGGGATGGGAAAGCAGAAGAAAGTATGGTGTGTGTACAGGAGAGAGAGAAAGAAAGAGGGAGAGGAACAGAAGGAGAGAGGATGAGAATGTGCATAGTTTGAGGGTGGGGCCCCTGCTAACAGGTGGCGCAGGTGGCTGAAAGGGCCGTTTGTACTAGCAAGGGCACAGGTGGGTTACAGACGGCACAGGCTTAAGAAATGCTCATGTAATTGAAACCCTCCCCCATTACTCAGTCTCCATCGCCGTGAAGCCTGACCTGCCAGCCCCAGTAGCACAGAGGGTCATCCTGAGGCCTGTCTCACAGGCCCCAGCTCCAGCCCACAGACTCACTAGCTTCTAATGGCAACAATAGCTTCAAAAGGCTGGGTATTCGTTTGTCTATGACTCTTGAGACTTTATTCCCATGGCATTCACTTTGTGCCTGAGCCGACCTGTTCTGACTTGGGCGAAGGTAAAGGAAAGCCTATAGCCCAGCCTGCCTTCGCCTGTCCTGGGCCTGGAACCTTCCCTCCAACCACCAGGCTTGGCAGGCCCCCAGGCCCCTCTCCATCTCCCATCCCAGGCCAAGAAGCCTATCTCAGTCTCAGTAGGTAACAGGACCCCACAGCAGACACAGCCGCATCGATTGGCCCAGACGTTACCTTTGTGAAGAAGG